TGGTCTTCAATCAACTACTTGTCTTCACCTTATCTCTCAGAACTATTCATGAATATAAAGTCCAGTAAACGTTAAATAAGTTTGACCTTGCAGTCTCCATTGCATTGAGAAAGTTTAAAGTTATGAAAATATGGAGGTTTTCACAGGAGGGCTGTTTCTCCTGCTGCTAAAAACAATGATTTAATGCTGGAAGGCTGCTGATGTAGCACTTTAAGTAACACTGGTCCGACCAATGAGATTCTGATCAGATGAGAGAATCTCAACCAACCAGTCGACCTTCTCGGAGGCTTTACACTTGGGGTGAAAACTTCTCAAAATGGGCTCGAAATAGACTGAAGCTACAACTCCAGCCATAATCAAGCAAATGGAAAAAAAAAAAGAGGCTCCAACTCCTCAAGATGTGACATTTCACTGCTTTTGCCAGCCTGGAGACTGCAGCCCTAATAAAAGGAGAGGTGATTCAGAGCCACTTTTCATTAAGCTGCACGACAGGCTTTGTATCTCTCTCCCATGATCAGAATGTAAGCTTACAGAGGGACTTTTGTCACCATTTCCAGTGTTTACAGGCATCACCTGAGAACCAGGATATTTCAGTAGTAGTTGTTTACCTAAATGGTTTCTGCTGCTGGTTACAACATTTCTACAACAGTTTTTCTGCATATTTCCACCATCAAAAAGCACATGTAAGGGGATCATGTCACCTGTCCTTGAAACCCAGAGTGCAATTTCCAGGTGTTTGCCGCTTTTTGTGATCATAAAATGAGTTTGTTTGTTTTGCAGCCAGAGAGAATAGACCCCAGTGCGTCCAGGCAAGGCTACGATGTCCGCTCAGACGTTTGGAGTTTGGGAATCACACTGGTAAGTTTTGACTTTAAAACGTGGAGACATCACTCAAATATGTGAATGAGAGCTATTTAAAAGAGCTGAAGTATCTAAAATATCATCCTTAGTGTTCAGTATTTACATTTGAGTATTTTGTAGCATGTGAGCATTGTTTCTAGAAGAAAAAACCTGCACGTCCAAAGAACCTCGTTGCTGCTGGGCTCCTACAATGTTTTAACTGCTTTTATCAATTTGGTCTTCTTTCGGCAAAAACTGAATTTCATATCTCTCAGAACAAACAGGCAGTTGGATCAGAATGCAACCACTGTTTGCACCTTAAGAAGGTCTAATTGATGAAAATCATTATTGTGGGAGCTCAGCGGTACGTGGACTCTTTCGCAATAAACCCACCTGGGCATCGTATCCCACAGCAGAGGTGGTAAACCACCCAGATCAGCCCAAGTCCTGTTTACAGTGTTGAGCTGTCTAAGATGCAAGAAATGTGCTGACATCTTTCACTGTCACTCCAAAATATTGGTCTTAGATTTCACACTATCTTCACCAGTGCAGAACCTTTTCCGCTCTGGTTAAAGAACATACATACACTAAAAAGGTTCGAAGCTTGAGAACTTATAGTGGAACCTAAAGGATAAACCATGGCAGCAGCATGAAAGGCATATGTTATTTCATTGTAAAAGGTTTCCAAGTAAGATGTGTTATTCATTTGAACAAGACAGTGAATGAACTTGACCACTGTTGCGCCATAAACACATTTAACAAATACGTCACATTTACTCTCTGAACCTGCTGGCAGATTTAAAAGGCATGTTATCTTGAAAAACATCACCAAAAGTACAACGTTGATCAGAGCCACAAACTGTAAAAACATAAAGAATTGGCTGATTTTCAACTTTTTTATGCTCTTTGAACTACTTATCAGTGACATGCAGTTCCATCTGGGAAAAAGAACCAAATGTAATCCTATAACCCTGATATTTTGTCAGTGACTTTATTCTATATGTCTTAACATTTGAAAACTTGCTAAAAATAAATTATTTGCTTGAATCAGTATAAAACAGTGGCTGTGACCAACAGTCAAGGGACAAAAATTCAGGGAGTTTTGGGCTGAACTGTATGTGTAACCACTGTTTTTTCACTATTTACAGAAATGAAATGCTTGGGGTTCAGAGTGTTAAATGTGTGGAATAGCACCTCTGCTCTTTTCCCCTAAAGATTAATGCTTTATAGAGTTGAAGTCTATTCATTTCAGGATGGTAAAGAGGTCTTTTTCATAGCTTCCCTACAACACGCTGTTTTGCAGTAGTTTTTCCACACCTGATTTGTAGTTAGTTTGCCTTAAACACGTTCCATGTGCATGTTTCAGTATGAGCTGGCCACAGGACGGTTTCCCTACCCGAAGTGGAACAGTGTGTTTGACCAGTTGACCCAGGTGGTGAGAGGAGACCCGCCGCAACTCAGCAACTCGGAGGAAAGGCGCTTCTCCCCCAAATTCATCGCCTTTGTCAACGTGTGGTAAGAAAAGGCTGCTGGAAATGTATTTTGCAGCGTTGTGCTACTTCTAAATACATTTCTAAGATTTTCTAATATCAGGAGATTGAGTGCTTGTGCTCTTCTGCCCCCTGGTGGGCAAATGACTGAACAGCATTTTTGTCTTTTTCATATTTTTCTGAAGCCTTACAAAGGAAGAATCGAAAAGGCCAAAGTACAAAGAGCTACTGGTGAGTTCGTATGAAGTCACCGTGATCTTTCACGTACTTCTCATAGGAGTTTGTGCTAATGTTTCATTATTTTTTTTTGCCCACTCCAGAAAGACCCGTTCATTCAGATGTACGAGGAGCGCTCTGCAGACGTAGCCGGTTACGTCTGCAGGATCCTGGATCAGATGCCAGCTTCTCCCAGCTCCCCCATGTATATGGACTGATAGCAGGACAAGATACGTCAGTGAATATACACACCCCTCTGCAACAACAACGGCAACAAAAAAAAGGCAACTAAGTAATCAAAACAAATCCTCGTGTAAATTTGCTTGGTCCCCTTATTGCAGTGTTAAAAGAGAATTGTAAAGCCTAAAAAAAATAAAAAGAAAAAAAAATAAAAGCACCACTTGCAATAAAAGCGGTGTTCATTTCAGTCATGTCTGTATAATATATTAACTCACTTCTGTTTCTCTCTTGTTCACAAACACAGACGCACAGTCACTTAAGTAATAATAGCAGCTGAATCAATCAATCATGACTCATCTTGATGAGGACGCATCTCAGTGATTAGTAACAGTGATTTAAAGAAGAAGAAGAAAATAAAAAAAAAACAGCAACCTGGAACTTGTATTTATAGAACCAAAAATCATGTGGCGTATTTGATTTGGAGACTCTTCGACATACTGGAATCATGCTCTTTGTGAATTGTCCCACCTCTTCCATGTACGTGAATGAAAGCATTGTGTTTGGTATCTTAATGGAACTGTGCTTCTCTGGGTATAAAGCAGTTTAAAAGTGTTGGTGGTCAGAGTCTCGCCGGACCTGCAGTCCAGTCAGCGCTCACTGTGCAGTGGACTCTATGCTGATATATGAATAAAGAGAGAGAAAGAGAAGGGAAAAGGTGTGTTCTGTCTCTTTATTTCTGAGTGGAGTGAACATAAATACAGTATGTCTACGTTAATGATTTTGAGTAAATAATAAATGGTCCAAAATATATTGGTGTTAAATAATTATGTGATATATACATATGAATGTATATCATATAGAAAAAAATAAATATGATATGAGAAACATAATGAGAAACAATAAAGAAATAATGGATTTTTAAAAATATATATATACTGTAGAACATACGAAGCTGAAAGTATGTGGATACTTCAACGTGACAGTGGGATCAGATAAAAACTATTAATCCACCGCTGTTATAGCTTCCACTTTCCTAGTTTCCATCACTTGTTAAAATGTGGCTGCAAGAATTTCCTCACATCCAACCACAAGAGCATCACTGAGGTCCTGTGGTGATGCTTTGAGACAAGTCAGGTTCCTAGATTATCTCACAGCTGCTGAGTGACGTTGCTCTGTGCATGTCAGTGAAATTATTTCTCATCAAACTGAGAAAATGTCTTTATGGTCCTGCCAAAGTAGGTCCATCTTTATTTTAAAGTGTTATATCTGTATTTGGGTGTAAAAAAAAATGTAATAATATACTGAATATAGGGGTCGACGATGTTTGTAGAGGTTTAACCTCAACAATGGTACTGATGCAACAGTTTAAAATAGTTCAGTTTTGCAAGTAAAGGTCCTGTTTAAAATACTGTACCTCAACTGTCCTTTAGGTGTCAGAAGTTGGAGAACTCATCCTGCAGAAAAATGACTCCTGTAACTGATACAACATCACATATGGCATCAGAAATGTACTCCTGATGCATTAATGCAACAGTAGCATTTATAACTGATCACGGCAGAACTTATTGCTTATTGTATGTATTGTTATCTATAAGCTCATTGTTTTGTAAAATGTAAAATCTTATTCTGAAAACTAAAAAATGAAGCATTATCATTTACATTCCATAGTCCATAAAGTGGTTTAGTTTAACTTCAGACTTCAGTTTACAGATTTAATTGTAAAATTGACTGTTGATTCAAGATTAAAGATAAACTCCAAGGCCCCAGAAAAGGGAAATGGGCCTTTCACCCATGCTGCAGTCAACACAAGCAGACACAAACAGGAAAAACACAGTTCATAGACAGAAGAAATTAATACATACATACATCAGGTAAAAGAAGAAGATCAACAATACACTTAATTCATCATGCGTACAGCTGCTGGTGTAATTATGTAAAAACTTACAATTAGAACAAATATAAAAATGTCCCCCCAAAAATATTGCTTTTAAAAAATAAATAAAAATGGTATGAATTATTACAAATTGTTTCATTAAGAAATATGTCCTGTATTTACCTAAAACATTCCTTACACTGTTTACTAATTTAGCGAGCATGAGGTTTTAGGTTATTTACCAGTGTACATGCATGTATATTGGATAAACTTTAAACCCCACTAAGAGCAGGGGTTCTGTCCCCACCCCCTCTCTGAGACGTCCGCTGTGATTGGTCCACACACCTGCCATACAATTTTAGAACCAATGACCGTTAAGAGTTGAAAACGTCATCATTAGATGCCGGAAGAAATGTCACATGTATCAAGCAACCTCTAACGTCCTGCGGAATGAGCAGAAAGCTATTGTGGGGTAACTAGTTTATCAAAAAAGCGTTCAGAAATGTTTGCGCAACATTAATTAAGTGTGATTTATCTTTTAGTTCAGTTATTTTAATGACTGGACCACGTGTTTATTATGAACACGGTCCCTGTGAAGCTCGGCTGCTTTACACTGCTGTTGGTGAAAGGCACAGCTCTGTCTGCTGCTGCTCCGTCAGTCGCACACTGTGATTTTCGTTTCCACCGGACTGTTTTCCAGTTTTTTAGGACAATGGCCACTAATAATAATAATAGCAATAATAGTAATAACTTCCCTGACACGAGGCAGCCGAGGAAAGTCAAGCAGAAGGAGCCGCTACGCAGAATGAAGACCAAAGAGAGCAGGAGCAGACGGTTCGACGGTCATGGACCGGCCACCGTGTACCTGCAGGTGGTCGGTGCTGGGAGCAGAGACAACGCTGCGTCTCTTTATGTTTTCTCCGATTACAACAGGTACCGTGTACACACATATCTCATGTTGTTTTCGGTAGGAAAGGCTTTGAAACCAGGACTCCAGTAGCCTGTTGAAGTCTATTTTTAATATTGGAGGCTAAGTTAAAGTGGTGTCTTTTACAGACAACATGGTATAGATTTACAAAGGTATGAAACATATGTAGTATAGCAAGGTGTTGCAGGAGAAAGTCTTCTTTCCTGATGTCAAAGTGTACTCCACAGTGTCAGCACACTGCAGCATCATTGCTTATTGTGGTTACAGTTTGGGCTTTAACAAACTGTTATTTACATTAATAATTGACTTGTTTATGAACTTTTGATAAGTGAATAAATCTGGGGGCCTTAAAATGTCAGAAAATGCTTATTTGAACATGTTATCAGTTTATGTGTTGTTTATAGGACAAAAAGATACTGTGATAGTTTTGTATGTGATATATATTTCAATATGAAAAGATACAAGGATTTTTCACAGGTGACACAAAAAACTATTTAGAAAGAATTCATCATTCTAGAATGAGTGAAGTGGTTTTGTGAAAAGTATTTTAGGAAAAGCAGGAGAAAGCATTTTGGAACCTTTCTCATTTGTTGCAACATTGGAAAAAGCATCCATCTGGCTTTACGCTCGCCTTACAGAGCTTCAACGTGTCGATTTAAATGTCAAACAAATGAGCATTTTTCCTCTGTGTGGTGGTAACAACTGCAGGACTGACAATGCTGACAGTGTACCTGTTTTTGGTCAACATCATCCTTTCTGTAGCCAAAATATTTTTCGGATTTCTTATTTGCAGCCAAATTTTCTTTTCCAGTGTTGAACTGTCTCTTGTTTCTTGTTCATTTTGCTGTGGACATGCAGTGCCCGCAGGTCAACAAACTCTGCGTCTTGTAAATAAAGTTAGATATACAGGCTTCAGACTACTGCTACAGACTTCTTTTGTAGATTTAGAGAATTGAAAAAAAAGAACTGTAGGAGTTTTCTTTTTGTATCAAGCAGCAAAAAAAGTTCAAGCATGATGTGTTTGAGTTACTTTTTATTACTTCACATTACAATTCTTGCGATGTGACTACTGCAGAGTTTGTGTTGAAATGATGCCTTTCTTTTGTATGTGCCTTCAAAATACATCACAAATGTCAAAACTACCCTGCATCACAGCAGGAAACTTTTGGAATCTGCACTAGAAACTTTGAACAAGGTTTGCTGGGTACGTTTGTAAAGGGCCCCTTTAAAGCTCGGAGATCCTTTCAGGATGTCTTTAATTAAAGGAGGTCCAGCATAAAAGTGCCAACAGGAAATCTGACATTGTCTAGCCAGTGTTGAAACACAAAAACTGCTGAATGCAAAAAGGTTGATTTCTTTGGGGGCTCATATCCAACTTGAACCTTAGCAGTTACCATATTGTAGATGAAACTATACACTAAACACTTCACTTCTGTCTGCTGCAGGTACCTGTTCAACTGCGGTGAGGGAACACAGAGACTCATGCAGGAACACAAGTAAGTTGCTTCGAACGTCAGCTCAGTCCATCAGGTGGGCAAGGAAATGGCATTAACATGTTTTTGTTCCTATTGCAGGTTGAAAGCTGCTTGCCTGGACAACATCCTTCTGACCAGACTGAGCTGGGAGAATGTGGGAGGTTTATCAGGTCAGTGGAGTCTGATTCAGAACAAAGAGGTTTTGTAAAGGAAGGAAAATCATCTTTTTGGGAGACCTAGTGCCAAAATAATCAATCACACTGGTCCTCCACAGTAACTCTGTGTTCGCTACTAAAAAGACATCAACTTAATATGCATGATAATATTTATACAATCAAAGGACTTAATGGGAATTAAATGTCATCATCACGCCAACATCACATCTACAATCAGTATTCATCTGTATGGGATCATTTCTGCAAATTATTCAGAATAAAGCGACACTAAAAACTGACGATGATGAACTTTCTGAACAAACATTTAAAATTAATCTAAATGACTAGATTACTATTCTGAGTTCTTTAAAGTGGGAGGCCAAGCTGTTTACGTTTCATGGTTTCATTGATTTATATATATTTATTAATGATGCGAATGTACTGAAAAAATGTCTGCGTTTTAATATCCATACTACCATACTACTAAATAATACACCAGAGCAAGGTTGAGTTTGTCCCAATACCTACTATGTCACATATACTTTGCCAAAAATACCCTGATGTCCAATTACATCTGAGTGGATTTTGCAGCATGTTTTTCTGGCCATTCTTACCCACAATCCTCGGTGCAGTTGTGTCATGATGTCAAGTTTGAGCAGCCAGAATGACAGCTCCTTTTAGGCAACAAACTGCAGCGTCAACGCACATTATTAGAATGAAGTAGCCTGTCCTGTGCATACTGCATGAAACAGTACAAACTTTATGAGAGCAGCTGAAGTGCTTAAAGAAAAAAGAAAAAGTGTGTGAGATGGAACGCAGCCAGTCGTTGAAAACAGTAGAAATAGCTTCAGACTGCCAGTGGCTTCTCACATGTACCTGCTGGATTTTATGCTACATGAGGCCCGACTGGATAATTGCATGAATAAGCAGATGTTCAGCTCTGAGACCATTAGTGAAGATAATTTTTTTCCATTATCCGGCGGCACTATGAATTATTCTCCACAAAAATGCAAATCAGAGAGGGGAGCATGTCTCTGAAGAGTAGACTTCTCCTTGGTTAGGGTGAAGTCGATTTGCTGCAGGTGCCCGAGTGCCCCCAGACTATAAGATGTCTTCTGTGGGTTTGATCCACTGTGGTATCATTCTGTCTGTGGCTGGTCTGCTTAGATTACTTTCGCTAATATGTAACTGGAATTCATCAGCGAAACCAACTTTTTCCATCATCCGCTGTGAAGTGCTCAGCTTAGTGTTTGTCCTTGTTTACCCCCTGACAAGAGGTTTAGAGATGCTTATCGTCCTTGGAGACACTTTTAGATCATTTTCTTTTGACAGAACGTTTACTGATTGGAGATTGTGTTTTTTCTTTAGTAAATGCTGTATCTCTGTTCTGTCTCTGAGTGAACAGAACTTGATGTATTGATCTTCTGATGATGTGCCCACTTTGTGCTTTGAATACAACTGATCCACTTCGGTTTCGTGGAGGTCCATCCGCTGCCCCCTCAGAAACCTTCAGTCCAGCTGTGATTTGATGCTGAGAAAAGCCTCTCTTTGCTCAGAATAACAATCTGACACTTTGAATTAGTTCTGATGCCACGTTTCCAACTATCACAGTGCTACTTTGTGAGCATCACTGTGCAGGAAGCTTGAGGCCAGAAATACTTATTGTTCATGAACAGTGGCCACGGGTTGATTCAGTTTAACAGGCCTCTGGTGAGTCGAACAAACCCACCTGAGTGTCGTCTGAACACTGCAGCAATAAGAGGATAGAAATCCCCAAAATTTTACAAAGAAGTTAAGATAGTCTGCTTCAGTGTTATTGCTGATGTAGAAATAGAACACAATCTAAAAGCACAAATGCTTGAAGAACACTTTTAAATGTTTCAAAACCCTCAAACCTTCTGATTGTGTCCAAGTTTACTCGAAAACCTGTCAGATTTTTGATATGCTCTCAGACCTCACTGTATGTAGGTAGATGTTTATGCTTTTTTTCAGTGACTTTTGAGCAAAATGTGTAATTTACTCCTTCCTTCCTTCATTCACACATATTATCTAAATGCATGTAAAATATGAAAGTTTAATTTTGGAAGTAGATTTTTTTTTCTTTAAACTGTATTTTTGTATAGTTAAATTACCTTAATATTCACTGTGACGTTGGTTTTCTGAACCCTTACCTACGTCTCCTCTCTTTTCCAGGGATGATACTAACTTTGAAGGACATCGGCGTCCCTGAGTGTGCTCTCTCCGGACCTCCGCAGCTGGTGAGAAGCTAAATCGCACAACATAAACACGCCTGCGGGAGCTTTTAATGCAACAAGGACTCACTTTACATCTGCTGTCTGCCTTTTTTTTTTTTTTTCAAAGGAGAACTATCTGAATGCCATCAAGACATTTTCTGGACCGCTGGATGAGATCAAGCTATGTATGTTGAATTAAATCAGACGCATATTATTTTTTGCATTATGTATTTCTGTGTGATGTTCACGGTTTCGTGTTCTCCCAGCGGTTCGACCGTACACTGATGACACGTACAAAGACGACACCATGACGATTCATCAGGTGCCGATATTTGGTGAGTTTTTCCTGCAGTTCAAATTTCAGCTTCAGAAAGACTCTCGATTGTTAGTTGACTCTTTTTTGCTGTTTTATCGAAGCAGCCAAGTCGAAGAGCGATGGTAGAAAACCCTCCCCCAGGTCTGGCAGCAGCAGCCCTTCTCACAGTTCTCCAAAGGAAGATGCCTTTTACATTAACAACAGCCCAGACGAAGCAGGTGAGTGCAGGAGCCGTCAGAGGAAACCTTTAAAGGTGCTACCAAAAGAGGAGAGAAGGCAGACGTCAGACCGTGTTAATCCAGAATATAGGGAAAATAGACATGCAACAAAATAGAGATCAGCTTTACTTTGTACCCTGAGCTTGTAGCTTTATGTTATGCTATGAAGGGAAAAGAGATGAGCAACAAACAAAATGAATAAGAAAGTAAACTGGCCAAATTCTGCATGTTTGCGACCGATAATTACAGATTTAAGATCAATCAACAAGCTGACAGCAGATGTTATTAAAATGACTATTTCATTGCAAAATGTTCATGTACATACAGTAAACATATTCATTGGTAATTTAAAAGATAACCTATGTAAAAATGAGTTAATGTTCAGACAAGAGTTTGGAGAATTTGGCTTCAGAGATATAAAAAAACATTCATCACAATCAGCAGATCGACTGTAAATGCAGTGATTTGATGATGCATTCAGACTTGCTTGTAAAAATGTGCGAAGTCTTTTGAAAATAAACTCATTTCATCTCAACTGTCTCCGGCTCAGTTCTGCTAAATGTGCATTTACAGTCGGTGTCAGCAAATCTGGAAATCACTTTGTCACAAGTGCAGCTGTAGAAAAGGGTATTGTTTAAACTGCTTACATCAATCAGTGTTATCCAGCTCAGAATTTTGTTCAGGGGAAATTTTTCTTGCGACCGTAAGGCTCTTTCCTCCTCGTTTGTTCGTTTTTGTCTGCAAATTTATGTTCATCAGCTAGATTGACTCAGATTTGTGCAGGGAGCCTAATCCTTTAGCCCTGTTCAGTTTGTTTAACGTCAAACTGAAGTAAAAAATAAAAGTATAGACGCACAGAGTTTCATTGCTTCAGTTATTTGTGTCAAATGTGTTGCAGGTGACAGACGAACAGCAGCGAGAAATACATCTTTAGTGGTTGCCTTTGTGTGTAAGGTAGGACGCTGTAAAAACAATACCATCCTGTCTGTGAGGTTTGACTTGAAGATGTTTTTTCTGACGTTTTCCTTCTCTACCTGTCAAATATTTTTACAGCTTCACCCCAAGAAAGGAAACTTCTTAGTTGCTCAAGCCAGAGAGCTTGGACTGCCCGTGTACGTGGATTTATTTAAAAGTTGGTTCGGTTGGTGTGTGCTGCTCTGATTGCATTGTTTGTAATGTTAACCCTGTTTGTTAGTGCAAAGCTTTGACTCTGATGGTGCATTTTAACCACGAGGCCCTTCAGGCTGGCCAGAAATGTCTGATGCTCACTAGTTGTGTTAGTTGTATTGTTAGAGATGTGAACTGATGGAATGAGTTCATCATTACTTATTTGGAAATGGTCAAATTTGAAGACATGATTGCATTAGTTTTGCTTTTTGTAACATTTGTAGATTCTACATTTTTCCGTCCAATATGGATTTTCAGGAGTAAAATTTCTGATATTAATATATTGGCCGCTCGTCTTTATATGTAAAAAGTTGATGATGAGATGGGGCCAGTGTTTATCAACTTTTCAGCAATTTATTTCACAAACTAGGTTTTCAGTGTATTGTGAAGACTCTGCACCTCCGTCTGCTCTGTTAGGAAGCATGCTCTGCTACATGTGCTGCAGAAAGTACTAAGATTAATGTTAATAATGGAGCCAGAGCTGCTCTGCTAAATAAACTACAATAGTCACTCAAATTTAATTCAGATTTTTATTTATTATTACTTTTGTCAATTTCAACTTATTTCAGTGACAGCTGCTTTTTTCCTTCTTTAATGGGAGGGTATGAATATGTTTGAGGACGACGGTATCGTCCAACAACTTGCTCCTCTTTATGAGCCATGCTGCTTTTAATTTATTGATTCAGTATATTTTATTTTCCTCTGTTCTCTGCTCTGCTATGTGATGATGTCATTTCTAAATATTGTTGCTTTTCATATTATATATTATTACTATAACCTTCTCGCTTGTACTTCTATTAACGTAACTACAGCTGACTTTTTTCCAAGTACATTTTGAGTATTCGGTTAACCCTCTGAACCCCGGGCAGATTGTGGGTGTTTTTTTTCCCTCCTGTCACGTTTTTCCTCACTGTGAGCTCATTTTTCACTGCAGTATAAAGTCCTGCACTTCTATGGAAACAACACAACTCTGGCTAGGAATGTGTTTTGTGAAGTATAACAAAGCTGAGTCAGAAAATAGCGAAATAGGTCTATCACAGTTTCCCAGAGCCTAAAGAATATTTAAATTGATTGCTTAGGTCAACCAACAGTGTGAAGACATTGACTTTACACAGCTATAAACCAGGAAAAAAAGCTGCAAAACATATTTGAAAAGCTTAAGCTGTGTTTGATTGACTGTCTTTCAAATAATGCCGCACTTCAGACTTTAACTGCTCTACAATCCTTCTCCTCACAGAGGCACAGCAGCGATCGGTCCACTTATCGCAGCTCTGAAAGACGGGAAGAGCATCACGTATGAAGGAAAAGAGGTGGCGTATTAAAACTAATTCTTCTGCATTTATCAGGCTGCAGTTTCAAACTGCATCCGCTCACTCTGTCGCTGTTGTGTTGCAGATTCGGCCGGAGCAGGTTTGTACTCCCACTGACCCAGGACCAGTCTTTATTGTAGTCGAGTGTCCATCTGAGGAGTTTGTGGATGCTGTCGTCACCAATCAGCAGCTGAGAAGGTAACAGGTTTAAATTTAGAGTTGTATAGAGCTGTCATTGAGCTTGTTTATGGGGAAAAAAACTGCATTTAAGCTGAACCTGTCATCGCCATCAGATACCAGAAAGGAAACACAGAAGACTCCCCTGTGCTGGTGGTCCACATGACTCCAGAGTGTGTCCTGAAAACAGATGAATACAAGGAGTGGATGGAGAGGTTGGTTTTCTCTCACTGTGAAACCAGACTCAATAGGAACTTATCCTGCTTTTGTGGTTGATGCTCTGAACCTCCAACTGTTCTGTGTTTCCGCAGATTTCCATCCACAACAGAACACCTGATCCTCAACGAACACGTGTCTCCAGTCCACAACGTCAGGAGTCATAAGATCCAGGTGCAGCTCAACATGATTCACCCAGAGATCTTTCCACAACTAAAGGCTTACAGAACAAAGGTAACACTGGTGGTGTGAAAATCTCTGTCTTGTTCTGTTCCAACACATTCCAGACAGTTCGTAGCTCAGACCTGTGATGGTTAATTATACGCCTACATTTTGTGAATGTATCCAGCCTCACTTTGTAAGACTTTTGTCCATTAGTATCCAAGTCATCGACCCTTTATGCTTTGATATCCAGGTCATTAGTACTTTATTGCGTAAATATCCAGGCTTTCTGTATTTATTTTTTATATTATCCAGGTAATTGATCGATTTTTGCGTTAATATCCAGATTTTAAATACTTCTTTGTGTAAATATCCAGGTTTTCTATACTTTTGTCTGTCATTATCCAAGATATTTTATACTTTTGTGTATTAATATTGTGGTTTTTGATAGTTTCTTGCATTAATGTCCAGATCATTAGTACATTTGTGCATTAATATCCAGATATTTGATCTGTTGTGTGTTAATATCCAGATTTTCTTTGCTTTTTTCCAGGTTTTTTGTGCTTGCGGGCAATTACATCCAGGTTATTGATAGATTTGTGCATTACTATCCAGATTTTTGATACTCCTGTGTCTTTGTATCCAGGTTTTTGACACATTTGTGTGTTACTATCAAGGTTATTGATATTGTTGTGCATTAATATCCAGATTTTTGATTGGTTTGTGTGTATACATACAAGATTTTAATAATTTGGTTCGTTTTTGTTCAGGTCATGAGTACATTTGTGCCTTAATCCCTGGGTTTTTGATTCATCTGTGTGTTACTATAGAAGTTGTTGCTATTTTGTGTGTTACATTACCCAGAGTGAAGCTAAGTAGTTAAAAGAGTGTGTTTTACAAGTGTAAAGACAAGCTTCCTTCCTAATCTCTCTCAAATTTGTAGTCTCTTGATACAACCTATCCTCACCCACAACACGTGTAAACAAACGTGATATGTAAAATCTGATAAATTCCCATTTAGTACAACAAAACTGCCTTTAAAAGTCTGTAAGTAGTCCATTGTCCTTAAACACTGGATGCCAAATTTCCCATAATGCAGCTCAGTAATGTCTTTCCATGGACTGAACTGTAAATGTAAGTCGCACCCAGTAGTTCTGTTCCTAGTCCACACACTGTAGTTGCTGTGAGAGTCAGTTAAGATCAGAGTTCAGAGGGATAAGTAAGTTATGATGCATAAAAGTATCTGTAAGAAAACATCAAAAACTTTCTCATATTTTGGTGTTTTTTTCCCTCAGGAGCCTCAGGCTGCCTTACACGTCCCGAACGTCAGAGCCGAGTGTCTGCTCAAGTTCCAGCTCAGACCTGTAATGGAGTGGCAAAGGTTAGTTTGTCCTTCAATCCCCCCAATTTAGCCAACATTACTCTGCAGCTCCGAGCGCTGCCTTGTCACAGAAAACAATCTGGAATGGACGATTGCACTCAACCGCTTTCTTCTCCTACTTTTTTAACCTCGTCTTACAAGTGTCAGTGTTCCCCCCCCCTCCCCTCCTTCACTGTTTCTGTCAAGTTCTGTGGAGGCACATCAAGGTCAGATGTGGGGGAAAAAAAATCCCTGTTTTTCCCCGGCAGTGTTTTTGCAGGCAGTGGTGTGTGTCTTGTTGACTCTGTGTCTCATTCGTTAGAGATGCCATCCCCTCCTGCAACTCTGAGGAGTTTGTGAAAGAAGCTTCTGAGGTCCCAAACTTTCTGGCAGAAGTGGACAAGTGCAAGATGATTTGCTCCACTGACGCTGCACAGCTCTCTGGTCAGTTCTGCAAACTAGATGCCTGAATTTTTCAAAAGCCTAACAAAATGTTTACTTTTAAGAGAATGGTCCCTCAGTGGTGTTAATTGATGATTAAAAACGCTATAATATTTAAACTATGATGTATCTTTTTTGTCAGACTTCAGTGATTGTGCAGTATGGTTGTGTTTTCTACTGCAGGTCAGGGGGAACAATACCCAGAGGTGGTTTTCTTGGGGACAGGATCAGCTCTTCCGATGAAGACCAGGAACGTCAGCGGCACTTTAGTTAATATCAGGTACGGCTGATTGTCACATTACTGTATTGCGGGAAACGTGACAAAAAATATTCACTCAGTGTCTAAAGAATATAACAGAAAGAAATAGAAAAATTCTTGTTTGAATGAGTATGCAGCACGTTGCTTCTGTTTATGTGCTCCAGAAACTATAGAAATAATGCTGTTACCTCCAACTGGACTTAATGTTCTGAATAACTACAGAAAAGTAAAATAATGAAACAAAGAAAAACATTTATTGTAATGTTCCAGTGATCTAATTAGTGCGCTCACAGTTCACTCACTGTTAATGAGAAACCACAACAAAGCACTGTTTGGTTATGTGCTAAAGTGTTGTCAGACTGTAGATATGTGTTGATATTTTATAGTTACTGTTGTGCCTACCTGCCTGCAGATGGAAATTAGCCAGTTGCTTTTCTCCTTTGGGATTAATGTGTTTTTTGTGGGGTCTCTGACAAATACATACATAAACTAAATTAGGACAAAACACGAGGGAACAGATGTTTCATATCATACTAATTATTTAGTTTTCATAAAACTGGATAAAACGGGACAATAATCCACGTTAAAGACAGATTATGAAAACACCATCTGCTACACGACTCATCCTGTTTGCTCTCAGTTTTATTAGGTTCAGCGTGTACTTTACATGCAAAATTTTAGCATAAATATGAGCTGCAAAGCACAAATAACATTTCATAAAAAGACGTAAGGACGAGGAAAAGCCTTTTTTCCTCTTCATCTGGAATAACCCGAAGCACTTCCCGAAGTAAATAGTCTTTACCATCGACTTAAAACACAAAAACATCTCATTTTTAAAGTAATCTGCTCCTCACCTGAATATGTGAAGCTGGATCTGAATTAAATATATTTAAACGCCATATTAAAAAACTAAATCTGTGATGTTTTTGTGGCTGCACTGTTTTATCAAATGCTAATTCACAGGTTGTCAGTTTATTAACATAAACTTACTTAAGCCAGTCTTTTGTCCCCATTTTTGCCCCTCCTGACAATCGGAGGAGGAATCGGTTTGTTATCTTGTTCTGTTCTAATGTTTGGTCCAGATTATTTGGCAATGTAAAGGGATTTATAGAATCAGACCCACAAAAGGAGTCAAACCAAGCAGCCTTGCAGTAAATTCTCCCTTTATCAAGATTATAAAGTTCAGTTTTTGGACAATTGTTCTCCATCAAACAATCAGTAATGTTTCAAAAGTGCTTTACTGTCTGCAGCCAAGTTTAAGGGATTAAAAACTTCTTTGTGCAAATCTGTAAAACCTGAAACAGTGGCCCTTAATAGGTGATGGATGTACAATATACACAAATTAGTTTTCCATCCTGCAAAGCTGAATCATGCAGTGGGTCTGCAAGAGAGATACACTTATTTACTCTGCTGAAATTCTTGCATCAGAATCCACAAGAGCTGACAAACAAAAACAAGCAACATGAAACGAGTGAAACGTCCCGAGAAAGCCGTGCTCGCTCGCTCGCTGTTTGTAGTTTTGTGTTTTTGCTGCGGATGTTTTCCTCTTGTCTCGCTCATTTTTAATGAACTGTCTGTGTTCGCACGAAGCCCGACTCAGTCTTTGCTGCTGGACTGCGGAGAGGGAACCTTCGCTCAGCTCTGCAGACACTACGGGGACGACGTGGACGACGCTCTGTCCAAGATCTCAACGGTTTTCATCTCACACATGCACGCTGACCATCACACAGTAAGAAAGAAACCGTGTCAAACTGGCAAATAAAAACAAATCTGTATCTAGTCTGTTCTAATTACTAATGCTCATATCCAACCTTTTGTCTCAGGGGCTGCTGAAGCTGCTGTACCAAAGGGAAAGGGCGCTGGTGTGTAGGAGAAGATAGTTTTTTGTTGGTTTAATCTTGCTGATGGTTCTCTTGTGTTGCCTAGTTTTACAGTATAGCTCAATCATATCCTGAAGTTGTAAATTGTCAAGTTAAAGTGTCATATTACGTCTCCAGAAAACCCTTGGGAAAGCGTTCAGCCCCATCTACCTGGTGGCTCCGGCTCAGCTGATGACCTGGCTCAACCAGTATCACAACTATTGTGAGGAGATTCTCAGGAATATCAAGTATGTGGACACAAAGACAAAATCAACCTAACATGATATATCATTAAACTCCCTTTATTCTATATGTCTCACCAAAATAATGTCTTTGCACTGACCGGATTCTGTAAAAAACAGAAAAAATCTGCACATGTAGACGGATCTCAAAAGCCATTAGTGACTCAGCTGTGACCAACAGTGACATGAAAAAAAAATCCCAAATCGTTTTTGCTGAGTTTACACAGAGCAGATAGGAGACAAGCAGAGAAACAAAATAAGAATGTAAGTAGTAAAAAAAAAAATCTATATTATTGCCCGTCACCATTTTTGGTCACACCTGTGAGCACTTATGATTTGTGGCATTATTAGTTTGTCATTTTTAATTTCTGTCTCCTCTATGGTTGTGCTGTTTCTATACACATGCAGGACTTTATATTGCAGTGAAAAGTGAGCCTACAGTAAATATAAATGTGACAGGAGCAAAAAAAAAAAAAAAAAACTGTTTGGGTTTTGGATGGTTAACCATAAACTTACTAAAATATCAACTCTAAAACTTTTAATTCTAAATTTCCTGGTTCTCACACTTCACAAGTTTACCAAAATAAATCTGCACTGAAGTTGTGATGTTCTGTACTTAGTGCTACCAAAAACAGAAGAGGTTTGGAGGGCAATTTAATTAAACACAAGACAAAACGAGCAGTTTTCAGCTTTTAATTTTAGATATTTTTTAACTTGGTAGCTGCCATTGAGTTTGGAAGATTCATTTGTCTGATTCAGGTCTTAGTTTTGGTTAATAAGCATCTTGCACACCAGGGGGCGCTGGGACAAGAGGTTAAGCAGCTAAATTTAGCTTATTGCCAGTCATTTCACAGTTGACTAAGACTAAACTGATTGTAGGATGAAGTTAGATGGCATAATCTTACCACACCTTATTTAGAAGCTATTTTTAGAGCTTTGAACAACATGTAAGCTCTTGGGACGCACCTAAACACTAGTAAAAGGTACTTGAGTTAAGATTTAGTCACGTTCTGATCCCAAGATCAAGAGTAAACTTTCATGTTACTTATTCTGGACCTGATTTCACCTTTAAAGGATAATTAAAAGTTTAGCTTCTTGGGGCAGTGATGTACAAGTGTAATCCAGGACCTTGTGGCATCAGCACACTTTTCAGCTTTTCAGCATCATTTATGTGTGAGGTTGGGTGTGAAACAGACTTCTGGCAGCACAGTTTCCAGCCTCGTGTTTCTCCTTCGTAATGTGTGTTTTGTTTTTCAGCCTCATCCCAAACAGATTTCTGTGCGATGGTGCCGAGGTGCCCAAGCAAAAGGAGTCAATCGTCCAGGGGTTGCTGAAAAAGAACGATCTAGAGAAGGTCTGCGGCCGCTTGGACATCACATCCGTTATTACTGAAGCCTTTAAAGTTTATTAAGTCACTTTTGTTTCTCTGTGCGTCTCAGTTCCGGACATGCTTCGTGCGTCACTGCAAGAACGCCTTTGCCTGCAGCTTCGCCCACCGGTCGGGCTGGAAACTTGCCTTTTCTGGTGACACCATGCCCTGCGACGCGTTCGTAAACATCGGTCAGTAGCACTCAGAGAGATTAAAGTCCATACATCACCCGAGTGTATATACGCACACATGCGTAATAGCAAATCGAGCATGCGGTTTCAATATTTCAGTGATTCATATTAGATCATCTTATCTGTATCTTGACTACATGGGTTGTTCTGAATAATTTATCTGATATTTCTTAATGCTTTCGAGCACTCTCGTAGCTGGCAGCCTTTTCTAATGGCTCCTATGGGATCCCACTTCATTGACTCTTCTTAAATTGCTTGACTGGATTCTGTCCAAGCAAAGCCTCCCAGAGACAGCGAGTGTATCCCATGCCTGTTCATTATAGATGGCTCAGCTCACCAGACAAACAGGGCGTGCCGATTCTTGATTATGCCGACTACCTGATTGATTTCCTGTGGGACAGGAAGAGGCTGTAAGTGCTTATCTGCGAGTCTGTGATTCAGGCTTCTGATTCCCACTTTTTTTTTCGCAGGAAAGAATGCGACCTTACTAATCCACGAGGCCACACTGGAAGATGAGCTGGCGGAGGAAGCTGTAGAGAAAAGGCATAGGTGAGTAAAACAAACTGTGCAGCACTAAGTAGCTCTGCAGGTTCTTTAATGTGATTTACGGAAATGAAGAAAATGAAGAAAAAAAACAAAACACAGCAGTAAAAGCCGTGTGTTGGCCAGAAAAAGACTTCACTTTCTTTTCTGATTGAGGTTGCCATTATTTTCTGAGTGCATTGTTAAATTTCTTTACTCTCTGCAGATATTGACATTGATTTTTGCACCTCTTTTATGGCGTCTGTCTTCACAAAAGCATCTTTTATGTCCTTAGAAAACAATATTCCCATTGAAACTTTGTCTCCGAGAAGCAGTGCAACGTAAATCTTTGACTTTATGCTTCATGTTTTCTGACAGCACGACATCCCAGGCCATCGGTATCGGCATGAAGATGAACGCTGACTTCATCATGCTGAACCACTTTAGCCAGCGATACGCCAAGATCCCACTCTTCAGCGAAGACTTCACTGACAGGGTGGGAATATCGTTTGACCACATGAGAGTAAGTAGCAATGCACATGTGGCAACTTCATATAAAGATGTTCATTCATCCAGTAGCCACATGTGTTTTCTGAATCCCTGCTGAGTGAGTGTTTGATAAATAATGTCTCACCACTGGATTTGACAGTTAATTGATAATACCTCAGAATTTGGAAATTCTTTATCCTTGTATCACAAGTGAATGCATCACCTCACAAGTATGCAAATGTTAGATGCTACAAAAAATTGAATTATGCAAGAAATATATGAAAATGATGCACATTCATGTGTTGAATTCTATGTGCTAGGCAAAATATATATCATTATCTGATACATCAGAGTCTGCACACAAGTATGTAACCCTCTGAACCCCAAGAGTCCCATTTTTATTCACTGTGAGCTCATTTTTTACAGCAATAATAACATCCTACACCTCAATGGAAACGGCACAACCATGACTAGAAGTAGAGAGAACTCAGAAATATCTTCTATGTAGTATGACAAGTTAACAAAAAAGGAGAAAATTAAGATACATTTGTTATTATTTTATGGCTCTACACATCATAATGTCTGGGTGATTGTAATACTTAGATTTTTATTTTGTTTCCATACTTGTGTAAACACAGCCTGCAGTTCAGCAGAAAGTTTCAAAATCTTGGTAAAGTTAATAACTTCACGATTGCCCAGAGGAGCACAGAATTTCTAGGTTTCACAGAGTCTGTTTACTGCAAACTGATTATTTTTGGCATTTAAAAAAAAAAGAGACATGTAGAATAAATTGATTTGACAATCTACAGCTTAGATTTGGTCAAGTCTTCCAGTGGAATGTCACACATGATTAGTTCAAGGACCTCTGGAGAGTTGAAATGAGCAAGATTCCTTCTGTTTTTACAGTTTCTGGTCTGATAAATTGTATAATTTTGCCCATTTTTAAAAAAGATAACACGCCTTTCAAACCCGCTAGCAGGTTTTGGGGTTTCAGAGGATTAATGCTTTCAACAATATTTATTCAAGTATAACCTCATGGGGATGTCTGGAGTGTAAAAGTTCTTCTTCAGATTCTTGAAGTGTCATGGTGACACGTTTGAGCGTCTGAAGTGGTACTTTAATAAATATTCTTGGGAGTCATTAATGCTAGCATGAAACATTAGGTGAAAGCCTTACATTTGGATTCATTTTCTTCTGATTCAGAGAAGAAAGAAGAAATCCCATCTGTCGTGTTTTCACTTTTCTTTCTTAACGGCATTCCTCCACCGACATAATGTTTGTTTACTGCTTTTCGGTTAGTCTACACAAAGGCTTGGTATCAAGTGCCTTTTGATCTGAGATTGAAATAAATCAGCAACTTCCAAGTGCCAAATCTTGTTTTCCATATTAATTGATCCCATATTTTCTGATCTAAGTCAGAGACTGAAGGAGGAAACAACGTTCTATACAAATGATCTTATCAAACATCTACGTACAGTTACATTCTAAACAAAATGTGTGTTCTTTAACTTAGATGTAAAAATCTGTT